CTTGTTATCTTGTTAACATATTCATTATTTGATCAATTACCCTGAATATAACCAATTTTCTGTAAACGCTGCTGCCCTGCTTTCTGTGTGGATGTCCTCCTGAGCACTTCATCATCCCCGGTAGAGCTGTCTGCTAACCCCAGATGTGAATACTCTGCTCAGCCGCTGTATTCCCTGTGTCTGGTTACACTTTCTGGAAGCGCCCCTCCTCATACAACCAAGATGCTGAACCTCCCCCAGCATGCATGCCTTCCTTAGCCTCCCTGGGCTCTTGTGTTCTAGGCCAGTACATCCTTGTAAATGGAAGTTCACGTCATCCTGCCCAACCTCTGACTCCCCTGTGCCAATACCTCCTTACCCAGCATGAAAACCATCATCACCCTGCTTGGGCTTTAGCACTCCACACTGGATCTCCCTTCAGTTCAAATACCCTTCTCACCTTACCCAGGTTTCTGAGCTTCACATCAGGGCTACTTCCTTCATCATCCTTACAGAGTCAGCTCCTTCCTTCTTGCTCAGGCTCTGACACCCAGTATGAGATAGCCTTGCACACACTGTCCCTCTTCACCCTGCTTGGGTTATGCATCTCACACAGACCTGCCCTGTGTTTGGGTATCTTACTCATCTTCCCTGGGCTCCAACTACATGTGTTCTTAGATGCCCTCCTCACCCTATATGAGCTCTGACACTCCACTCAAGCTTTCTCTACCTAACAGTTTTAGGAGTGAACTAGCCAGGAAGGGAAGGGGTACTGCCTTTTTTGGAACTTACATTAGATGAATGTTGGGTGTTTTCATTCTGTTATCTACAGCTCTAAATATCTCTGATTGATCTTACCTCCCTGATTTCTTTCATTCAATGTTCTCTTTCTTTACTACTCCTTGCCTTTTTTTTTTTCTGTGTAACTTCTTGAGAATTATTTTTAAGTTCATTGATTCTCTCTTCACTTGAGTCTATTTTGATTTATTCTCTTGACATTTGTTATAGTCCAATGATTATGTTTTATTTCTAGAAGTAGTATATGTTTGTTTTAAAATTCTACCTGTTGGGGCGCCTGGGTGGCTTAGTCGGTTAAGCATCCGACTTTCACTTAGGTCATGATCTCGCGGTTCGTGGGTTCGGGCCCCGCGTCGGGCTCTGTGCTGACTGCCAGCTCAGAGCCTGGAGCCTGTTTCAGTCTGTGACTCCCTCTCTCTCTGACCCTCCCCTGCTCACGCTGTCTCTCTCTCTCTCTCTCCTAGAAATAAATAAAAAGCATTTAAAAAAAAATTAAAAAAAAAAACAACACCGCTTCCTCTTAAAAATATATATATAAAGACTAATATCTGCCACCCAGCCTTGACAATCTTTGTGTTTCCCACATACATTTCAAATCATTTCAGTACAGATGAAANTCCACGCTATCAGTGCAGTGATCTTGCAAACTGTGACATCATGATCCAAGCCAAAATCAAGAGTCAGATGCTTAACCCACTGAGCCTCCCAGGCACGTATGCCTGGGTTTTATAATACATACAAACAAGTGTATTAAAATGAAACGATTCGGGGCGCCTGGGTGGCTTAGTCAGTTAAGCGTCTGACTTTCACTTAGGTCATGATCTTGCAGTTCGTGGGTTCGAGCCCCGTGTTGGGCTCTGTGCTGACTGCCAGCTCAGAGCCTGGAGCCTGTTTCAGTCTGTGACTCCCTCTCTCTCTGACCCTCCCCTGCTCACACTGTCTCTCTCTCTCTCCTAGAAATAAATAAAACATTAAATAAAATAAAATTCTGTTAATTTTTTATAGGCTTTTTCCCCCCTTGAGTTTTAAATGTCTTCTTTTGTCTCTTTAATAGTTTATAATAATATATTTGTTCTTCTTTAGCAATGAGTTTAATATTGTTCTTTTATTATTAGTTCCTGGGGTACTGATCTTTCTGTTTACTTATGGTTTATTATTTTCTTGAATGTTTTGTAATTTTTAATTGGGAGCTTCTTTGGCACTGATGTTTCAATGGAAATCCTATGCAACTGTGGTTAGGAACTATCCTCCAAAATGCTTTCTTTGTTAAAAAATAGCTTTATTAAAGTTTAATGAATATTAGGTGTGTGTATACATGTCTACATATATGTATTGAAAGTGTACAATTATATATGTTTTGACATAATATGTTCATTATGAAACAGTTACCACAGTCAAAATAATACATGTATACCATCCTCAGAAGTTTCTTCATTCTTCTTTGCAAACTCTATAATCCCTGTCCCATTCTCCTGTCCATAGGCAATCACTGACCTGTTTTCTATTGTCCTAGATTAATTTGAATTTTCTAGAATTTTATATAAATGGAGTCATACTGTATTTATTCTTTTTAGCTACTGTTTTCGCTCAATATAATTATTTTCAGTTTCATGTATGTTGTGCTGTTTAAGAGTTTATGCCTTTTTAATCCTGAATAGTATCCCATTGTGTGGCTATACCATAATTTGTTTATCCATTCACCTCAAATAGCGGACAGTTGAATTGTTTCCAGTTTTTAGCTAGTATAAATAGAATCCTATGTGTAAAAATCTTTGTATAAATATTTGCTTTTTTTCCTTTTGGGTGAGACCTAGGGATAGGTTGACTGGGTCATGTAGTGAGCACATGTTTCACTTTATAAAAAAAAAAAAAAAACTATCAACTATTTTCCATTATATATTCCCAACAGCAGTGTATGCATTCCAGTTGTTCTACATTCTTAACACTTGGCCTGATGTTTTTTGTTTGTTTTTTTAAAATTTGAGATAATGTAGTAAGTGTGTAGTGTTTTTGAAAGGCTTCCCACTGGTATCTTTGACTTGAGAACATTTATTTATTTGGGTTTTTCTGCATGTGTGGATTCTGGCATTATATGTATGTCATGATAATTTTTATTCCAAACTTGTTTTGTGGTTCAAGTTTGGCATGTTTTTCTTGGGAGCTTTGTAAATGAGCTTCCTTATCTTTCTGAGTAGTGCTGGAGTTTTTTTTTAGATTCCATTTCAATGAGCAAGGAAGGGCTTCTTGTCCTTAAGTGGGATTAACACTTAAAGATCTAGCCAACATACTTGTATACAGACTCAGCTCTCATTTCAGGTTTTTCTTAGATTTGTGATGCTTGGAATTTTCTAAACTTATTTATAAGCATGGCTATGAAGCAACAATTGAAACACACACACACACACACACACACACACACACACACACACACCATTATTTCTCTGTGTTTGAAGCAGAAGTCCAAGTTCAGATTACAGGGTTATTGACACCAGAACTCTTTGGTTAGCTAAGTAATGTGATTAATATGTGTGGTTTTGATAGTCTGAATTACAAAGCTCCAGGTATTTCCCATAGAAATCTTAGTTTACTGGTGCCTGGGGACTGTGGTAAGAATAATACAGGCCACTTGTGTACTGACCTAACAAGTGAACCATCAGGAAGTAGGTACTGAATTCCAAACAACTGAACTACAAGAAAAAAACTGAAAGGAACCAGTTTATGGGTTAAGCACTGGCTACATTGAATTTGTGTTCACGGTGTAGTGCATACTCGCGCGTATATGTGTGTGCACCTATGTGTAATTCAACATGACAAAGAATAGGTACCATACATCTTAATAACTTATATTGGTGCTTATCCTTTATATGCTTCAGTACCAGAAGTCCTGCAGGACAGAAGGTTTCTTCATTTTGTTAACTTTCTTAAGCCAAATGTGGGAAGTAAGTTTGATATCTTTGTCCCTCTCTTATCTTTAACATTTTTAATTAGACTAAATAGATACAATGAAGTCATAAGAGGAAACATACCAATCTACTCTAAAGATTCACAGCATGATTAATCACCAAATTATTTGTATTTCATAAAAGAATGCCTATTTGGGGAAACATTTAACTCAGTGTGGCACAAACTGTAATGCACATATCACTGGGTGACATTTGAGATCATTTTGGGGTGTATTCAGGCAAGCATATTTTGAGAATTACATATTCATATTTCATAACTTATACATGAAGGTAGTAATTTCATGGAAATTCATATTGAGAATGATAGCAAATACAAAAACAGGTGAAATAAAAACAGAACATGACTATGACAGAAATGAGAACAATCACATATGAATCTTTGAAGACTTAAAAAAGACTGTTTTTATAGAAAAGATTTACTTCTTTTTTAAAAATTTTTTAAATGTTTTATTTATTTTTGGGAGAGAGACAGAGACAGCATGATGAGCAGGGAAGCGTCACAGAGAGAGGGAGACACAGAATCTGAAGACAGGCTCCAGGCTCTGAGCTGTCAGCACAGAGCCCGATGCGGGGCTCAAATCCACGAACCGTGAGATCATGACCTGAACTGAAGTCAGACGCCTAACCGACTAAGTCACTCAGGTGCCCCAGAAAAGATTTACTTCTTAATCACAAAGTTCAGCTATTTGTTCAGATGTTTGTAGGTAAGGTGATGACATCTTGGGTAAAAGAGAGTATGCAAGCTGTCTTCATATTATACTGTGAAGCCAGGTCTATTCTTCTTAAGAGGCCTAGCTAGGCTTTGGAGCAAGTCAGGGTCACCCATAGTCAGAGCTGTGTGTGGAATGGATAGACTATTTCTATCCTTCTCTTTGTCTGCAGCAATAATCACTAACTGGGGGTTTCTGAGGGGCTCAGCTGGTTAGATGGCCAACTCTTAATCTCGGCTCAGGTCTTAACTTCAGGGTTGTGAGTTTGAGCCATTCTTGGGCTCCTCACTGGGCAATGGATCCTACTTTTAAAAAAAGTTGCAAATTGGGAAAAAATCATTTCCCTTTGATGGATTAATACTGGGCATGGTAACTTCAATGTGTAATAAGTGCCTTCTACTCTAATTAACAGGGAATCACCCTGTGATCTCCATCTCTGGGAGAATACATCCCAGAGCTTAGATCATGGGGAGTCCACTTTGTGATATGATCAATCCTCCCAAATTTTTGAATGATGACTGTGTCCACTTCCCTTCTCTGTTTGTTCAAGATTCTCTCAGCATGAGGTGCTCCCTGCAGGCAGTGGCACTCTGGGGGAGGAAGGCCCCTCCACACAGCATCACTGCCATCATGATCACTGATGACCAGCAGACCATTGTGACTGGAAGTCAAGAAGGTCAGCTCTGTCTCTGGAATCTCTCACCTGAACTAAAGGTTCGTGAAAATGATTTACATTGAAACAGATAGCACTCACAATATAAACACGATTTAATTCTACCTGCAATGACAGTGGAAGTTTTGCATGATTGTTAAGTAGGTGCTCACTGAAGTAATAAATTGGTTTTACTTCTGAAATTGGAGAAAATGAAGTACTCTATGATAGATCAAGATCCTATTTGAAAATTATATTATGAATATTGCTAATCTTAGCTACCAGCTAAGTGTTATCACCCTTTAAGCTGTGCTGAGCTTTACTATTTTACATCCTGAATTATATGTTTAAGTAACTGAACTACAGACATGTAAGTATAATTCTAAAAATTATAGCTCATTAATCTAAACAAAGGGCACCCTTGAAAACTGCTATTAACTAAATGAGTAATATCTTAATTATCTGGGTGTTTCTGTCAGTTTGGCCTTTTGCTATTCTTTTAGTCTCCGCTTGCATGTGATTTTTAAAGATCACATCAAAAAGCTCTAAATCCAATTTACTATTGTCGTCTTCCTATCTCAGAACCTGACCTCACCTAGGTTTTGGCCCATTGATTGGCAATTAATTGTCCCTGTCCCGAGTCATAAACATTTAACATATTGGAATAGATATTTGCTTAGTGCTAGCAGCCTCTAGACCCAATTTGAACATTTAAACTAATGATGTACTTAAAGTATACTGCCCTCATTAAGAAGCCTTTTAAAGATCAAAGACTATTTTTAGCCTTTAAAGTTTGTCACTTTAAAACCTAAATTAACAATTAATTGTAATTCTATTTTATAGTGTAATTAATTAACATCTCCCATCACAGAAGAGTTACACTGCAGGACTGCCAAGAACTGCCTAGCAGCCCAGCTCAGCTCAATGTTTATGAACATCCCTGAAAGAAGGAATTAGTCTTACTGCAACAGCCGAGCTTTGAAAAGTGGCCCTCACATGTATTATCTCTTAGAGTTTAAACTCACACTTCTGGATGGCTTCAAATGTCTTGCTACTCTTTTTAATATTTCAGTATAGTGTTTTCTGGCTGGAGTAGTTGTGCTGCATAATATGCAGGATGCAATAAGCAAGAAATTTGGAATCCTAGCATTTGTATCTTTTTACATGTACTCCTGGTATTTATTCAGCATTTATTTAACATGCATTTATTGGCTACATATAAGTTAGGCAGTAGGCTAGGTACCTGGGTTCAGATATGAACGAGAAGACTTGGTGCTGGCCGTCAAAAGGGCTGCAGTGTAGCAGAGGAAGGACATAGGCTAATGCTGTGCATTTATGTGATAATACAAGGTACTCTGAGTACCTTGAGTGCTGAGGGATTTAGATTTAAAAAAAATTAACTAGCAAGAGCTAACGCCATATGTTAATTAAAAGCAAAGGCAATATTAAGGGATTTTGAGATGATTTATGCAAGGAGATGACATAATACTGTATTATTATATTTGTGATTTAGACTATCATTTGGTATTAATGTGAAGGGCATACTGAAGGGAGGGAGAGAAGAGATAAGGGGCAGTAACTATGGGAGGAACCTCTACATTAATTTAGTCAATAAAGTTTTTGAGGATGAACCAAATTAGTGACAGATAGGATGAAAAGGAGATGAAAACTGGGAAGATACTAAGAGGAAAGAATGGGAGGAACTGAGCAACTGATTGGAGTATGGGTAAAAGTGCAAGAATAGTCAAGGATACCCTACAGATTAGGGGTTTGAGTGATGGGTGGGGCTGGAGGTGTGATGGTATCCTGTATCTGCATAAGGAATAGAGGTGATTAGACAATTGGAACAGGAAGTGAAAGGAAATGATTTAAGTTCTGGACCTCTTGGAGCATCCAAGTATTTAATTAGGGGATTTAGGAACACATCTGTGTTCACTGTGTTTCCCTGTCTGTGGTGGTGGGATTGCAGGGTACTGTGAAACTAGAGAATAAGTATCTTCCTGTCCTGCACTTCTCATCACATGCATCCCAAGCTCAGGGTCCAACTCCCAAAGACAAAGTACTTTACTTACATTTTCTGGCATTGACTGCTGGCATTTATAACATTTTTAAGCATAAAGATGAGTAGAACATCCTTCCAGATCTATTTCTGAGTACTGTGATCTTCTGTTTTTCTTCCTATTTTATTTATTTATTTATTTATTTATTTATTTATTTATTTATTTATTTTATTTATTGTTTATTTTTGAGACAGAGAGAGACAGAGCATGAGCAGGGGAGGGGCAGAGAGAGATACAGAATCTGAAACAGGCTCCAAGCTCTGAGCTGCCAGCACAGAACCCGATGCAGGGCTCAAACCCATGAACTGTGAGATCATGACCTGAGCCGAAGTCGGACGCTTAACCAACTGAGCCACCCAGGTGCCCCCTTCCTATTTTAATACTCAGAAGGAAATGCAACAATGACAAAATGAAGAGTAGCAATATTGTGTATAGGAAAAGAATGGAGAGATTGATCAGGTTCTAGTTCTGACATTTACAACTTTGATATATTGAGCAAATGACATATTAATTGAGCCTTGATTTCTTCACCTGTGAAATGGGGATTAGACCCTGTTCATAGTTGCACTACTGCCTGGATATGTTGGATGCTCAGCAAGGTATGTGTTCCCATTTGTGCTGTTGGAATTTCTTGGGGTTGGGAGGGGGTGGCAGTGCTTCATACAGGTAGAGCTCATGAACAGAAGTAAAGGTGTCCTGGATTTCATCATGACAATGAGCAGGTGTGATGGCGGATTTTTGTTGTTGTTGTTATTCCTGACAGCAGTTCCAGAATAAGATAAATTGAAGAGATTATAATGAATAGTCATGGCTTATTCAACTACATGTGGGGAGTCTGTAGGAGAATGATGACTCCATGTGCAAAGCAATGGTGTTCCATTATGCTGTTTGGTTCATAGAGGATTTTCTCTAGGAGACAGAGTGTCCTTCCTTTGCCCTGATTCATTGCTTAATTTGGCCTGCAATAGATGGAAAGGTGTTAAGTGCGTAAGGGTATGTGTTCTCAAATGTGATGATGGAAAAGACAGTATGTTGTTTTCTGGATTTCCCAGGAAAACAGTAGAATAAGAACTTGGGTTGTAAATGGTTCTAACCAACCACAAAACTTCTTTGTAGTACTGGAAATTTAGTTTAACAATACATCTTTTAGAGAAGTATTGCTGATTATGATAGAAATAAGATGAAGGCAAAGAATAATTCTGTTTTGAAATAATTTGTATTCATTAATATGATTTGGTCATCCTTTATGGATATGTTTGCATTGTTCAGAAAAAGTATAATGAATATGAATTAATTTGGAAATAGATTTTTATTACCCATAAGACAAGTCTTATTATCCACAAATTTTCTAGTCATTGAAATCAAATTTTTAGTCCCTATTGACAACCTCTTCTCCATTTGAGGAGATCTTACAGGTTTTCTGTTCTGTAATTTGATTTTCAAAATCTTGTTTTATAAAACAAAGAGCACTGGACATCTTTCACACATGAGATAATGTAAGAATTAGCTCCCAGTGCCATATTTTTAAACTCATGTAAAGGATAAAGCCATTGACATTTTAAATAATAGCTTAGTTAAAATTTCACTTGTAACGTGGAAAAATTAGTATTAGTTTTTATTTTTGAGGCAAGAAGCCACATAAGGTTACAGTAAAGTTATAATGATTACAAAAAGGGTAATGTTTTGTTTGTATTTTTTTGTAAACTCATTTCTGAGTTCTGAAATTTGTACTTTAACATGCAGCTATCATTTGAGGCACATTTTGTGCACTATAAACATCAACACTGACTTATTTGTATTCAAAACCTAGATGTTACAAAATAGGTCTGGTGATTGTTTAGGTGTCAAGATGAGTATAAAACCGAAAACCAAAAACCAAAAAATGTGTACAACACAGTTCCTGTATCAAGATGTTTTTTTAGGGGTGCCTGGGTGGCTTAGGTGGTTGAGTGTCCTACTTTGGCTCAGGTCATGATCTCACAGTTCGTGGGTTTGGGCCCCGGATGGGTCTTTGTGCTGACAGCTCAGAGCCTGGAACCTGCTTTAGATTCAGTGTCCCCCTCTCTCACTGTGTCTCCTCCACTTGTGCTCTGCCTCTCTCTCTTTCTCTTTCTCTCTGTCTCTCAAAAATAAATAACTTTTAAAAAATAGATTTTTTTATTCTGTGGATTTTGATATGGCATATATCAGTTTTCCTAAAATGTATGTAGAGCAAAACCATATTAAAAGGATTTTCTGATAGAATTATGAATACTTACATAAAATGATGTTTATATTCTTCAAAAGTTTACAATTGTTTAAAAGCTTACCCTGATTATTTTCAGATTTCAGCTAAAGAACTTTTATTTGGTCATTCGGCTTCAGTAACATGTTTGGCAAAAGCAAGGGACTTCTCTAAACAGCCCTATGTCGTCAGTGCTGCTGAAAATGGGTAGGTAAGATGTGTGCAACTTTGTAACCATCTCTATTCTCTCTCCCTTTTTAAAACCAATAATGGGGTACAGAATTATGGAGTTGAAGGAAATCTTAGTGATTATCATGTTCCTTTTACATATAGGAAAACTTAGATCCTGAATGGTAATCTGTGTGATGGTCCCAAGGGATGTGATCAATACTGTGTCTACAAATTTAATACTTTTTTTTTTTTTTTTTTTTTTGCTGGGTTAAGACAAAATAAACACCCCAACTAGTGTATCAGGCTTTTGTGCTAGCCTTTCTGTGTAAAAGATACTGGCAAATACCACCTCTTTATAGAACCTGAAAACAGAAAAGTCTGGATACTTATCTTTTTTCAAGTTGTAACTCACTTTGAGCTCTTAAGCAAACGTATCCAGGCCTTCATAGTTTTGTAAAACAGCTCAATAGTTATAATCCTCATGTAATACACTTGTCTGATATCATTACAGAAGAAACAGAAAAGAGAGGACTCAATGGTAAGCGGAATGATGGGAAAGAGAAAAGAGAGGAACACAGACTGTGGTATGGGTACAGTTTCATGGAAGCAAGCTTTATTCCAATGAAAAAGAACTAAGCTTTAAGAGAAAAGCCTCACTGACAGAAGGTCTACTGGTCTCAGCTGATAAGTTATTTGCCAAAGTATACCCAGGAATGTGGAATTGATTCAGCATGCATTTGTGAATCAGGGATTGGATTACGGTTTGAAACAAGAGAACCTCCTCCTTTTTGTTTTTAACCTGAGGAGAAATTACATGGCTCTGAATAATGAGTGTCTACATTGTAGAAACTGAATAGTTTAACAAAATGCTAGTGAAACATATATCAAAGAGGTGCCTCTTTTCATAGCTTATAGCAAAGCCATAATTGTTAAACCTAGAGAGGATGAACTTTGGATGAGGCTAAAGTGAAATGCACTGGTACATTCTTTTTTTTTTTTTTTTTTTAACAATTACTAGCAGCTTTTGTATGCTAGTGCTGCCATTCCCAGGCTAGAGAATTTGAGAGATGGCAATTGTTTTTTTTCTGAGACTACGTGGAGAATTGAGAAAATTAATAGCTAAATGAGAAATAGCTCTGGAAAGTAATTGAGTTCCAGCTTGAGATTTTCAGCCACAGTAGTCTAGCTCCAAAAAAGAAACTAATGTTAATGGACATATTCTTGATGATAGATAAATTCAGCTGTATGATCCTGCAAATATGATTATTAAAGAGCCAAGGAGTCTGGTTTGGTCTTTGTTTTCCAAGATGATTTGAATTTTCTAGAATTCTGTTCCTTCAAGATGCAAAACTTAGCCTACATCTGCGAGATACTTTTTAGGCAGTGTCTACAATTCAGTTTTGCATACTTGGTTTAATCTGCTGGAAGTTATTAAATTTACTAGGCTTGGTCCATTATCCCCCAAACAATGACTTTAGCTTTGAGTAGACTTGGGAATGACTGTGAACTTAACATTTCTGCCTCCAACATGATCAAAGGGGCCACAAGATTACTTTGACTCAGTTTTTTATTTTTTCCCCAGAGTATGACTTCATCAATAGGTATAAATCTTAAGTTCAGGAATCCCAATGAATTCCAGGATAAATGAAAGGAAATAGATACCTAGAGACCTCTTGTTGAAACAACAGAATGCGAGAGAAAAAGAAGATCCTGAAAGGAGTTAGTGGGAAAAAGCAGATTTATAAAGGAATGTAATTAAGCTGACTTCTGAACAGTAAAATGAAGACTAGACAGCTGTGAAATAATCTTCAAAAAGCTGAGAGAAAATATCTGCCAACTTAGACTTGTATTTCTAGCAAAAATGTCTTTGAAAAAGATAAGGTCAAAATAGGTGTTTAAGACAAATATTAAGTATTTATTAAGCATTTAAGTAATTAGTACTTAAGTAGCTAAGTATTAATAAATATTAATATAATACTAAGTATTTAAATAACTATTTAAGAAAAATACTAAGAATGTTCACTGCCAATAGACCCCGTATAAGCAACAGAATTCTAAATGAAATTCTTCAGTAAGAAAAACGATTTCAGACAGAACAGCTAAGATGGAGGAAGGAATATTGAACAAAACCAGCAAATATTTAGAAAATGCAAATAAACATGGACTGTAAGACAATAATGTTTATATATGCCTCCCATTCCCCACTGCCAAATACACACACACACACACACACACACACACACACACACACAAACTGCATATATGTCTGTTCTAGTCAACAGTCACATAGGATAGTAGTGATCAGATTCCACATGTTCTTGTTCTAGAGGTGGGTAAAGATGTTGAACAACTTTAGACTTTAAGCTAGATCTACATATTTCCAGGGTACCTGCTAAAAGAACAGATAGAAGAAATAAACATAGAATACAGAACTTCCAATTTCGAAAAGAAAAATTTAATCCAAAGGGACAAAATAAATGGGGCAAATAGAAAGCACAGAATAAAGTAGCAGAGATAAATCTGACTAAAACTGTAATGTCAATTATGTAAAGGGACTGAGCCCTCTTTACATAGATGGTTAAATCACAGAGTTAAATCACATAGATGGTGATACAATTTAAAAGACAAAAACAGCATAAGGACATAGAAAGGTTAAACGTAAATGGATGGAAAAAGATTTACCAGAGGAATAATGACCAAAATAATGTTAATATTTGCTGTGTAAATATTTTATATTAAGAAATGTGTTTAGTTAATAAAACCTTAAGGCAAAAAAAGTCTTGGCATTGATGAAGAGAGTTGTTACTTATTATTAAAACATTCAGTCACCAGCAAGAGAGAAGACAAGAAAGTTAGGCAAGTGCCCAGTCTTAGAGTCTTCCAGGACAGTACTCCTCCAACCTGAGCTTGCATCAGGACCACCTGAAGAGCTGGTTTAAATACAGACTTCTGGGCCCCACTTCCAGAGGTATGGGTTCAGTAGGTCCAGGCTTAGGTTCAAGAACTTGCATTTCTAACATGTTTGCTGGACAGTGCTCATGCTGCTTGTACAGAGAACATAACTGGCATGGTGAGTATCATACATTTGGGGCAGTGAGAGAAAGTGTGATGTCAAGAATGACTTGGGAAACTCATTAGTGATAATACTATTCACTGAGAATAGAAAACCAAGGAGGGCAGATGTTATGCCTCATTATGACCATGAAGAGTGGGAAGTCTTGCAAGTCATCCAGGTAGAGAAATCTAATAGCCAATTGCGTATGGAAATCTAGAGCTCAGTGAATTTTTCTGGGCTTCCAACATCCTATGGGTGCTACCTGAAGTGATGGGATTAGATAATTCACCCAGAAAGTGTGTGAAATATGAGACGGTAAGAAAGCCTAAGACAAACCTCTAAGGAAAACCAGAGTTTCAGAAGCAGAATGGAGCCTGAGAATGCCAATGAAACCCTAAAAGTATAATGGAAGATAAGAGAAAATAGAGTTTGAAGAACATATGGGACTTGGGTTCAAGATGGCAAACCATGTTTATCTCCTTTCCCTCTAGATGTTTTGTTAAAATTGAAATGATAACAATTTTATAAGCAAACAAATAAAAGAAGAAGCATGGGCCAAAGAAAATAGTCAATTTCTCAAAGTAGAAAAGTAGATATAAGAGTGATGACTGATCCATTTATCCACTGGAGGAATTTTTATTGAGGTGCTGAGGTGGAGATATGATTTGAATAAGACAAAAAAGGGCTTTTCTCAAGAAACTCAGTGGGAATTTAACAATTTTCTAATTTTATATTTGGTAGATACTTTCCTCTGTGTTCCTCTTTTCACTGAAATAAGAAAAATCAAAAATTTAAAAATGTTGGAAATTTTTAAACATTTTTTTCTGAGTTAAGCTTTCTTTTTAATTGAAGATGATTTAATCTATGTAGAAATTTTGGGAACAGTATTTCAAAAGGAAAAGAAGAATGTACATTTTAACAGTTAATTTTCCTGTGTTCTTATTAAATATGTAACTTGTACAGTTGCAGCTAAAATGTCTGCCACTTTTGAAACAACACAGTTGTTTTCCTTTCTTAAAAACAACTGTTAAACAAAGAGTCAATTTTTGTTTTGTGGTATTTTTGTACATAGATTTTTCTACTTTAAGATAGAAAATAAGATGATAAGCAAACATTAGAATCTAAGAGAGTTTAGAAACATAGTATCACCAAGATAGCTTTTACTGATGCCCAGGCTCCAACCTTGGAACATGGAATTTAATTAGCAATGTGGGGACCCCAACACAGATCCACGGAATTAGAATCTCTATGGATGATTTTTGAAACATGCACAGGTGATGTACAGCTAGAGTTGAGAATCATGTTAATAAACTCCAATTTCTTATGAAGCTAAACTTTTATATTAATAGTGACTTAAAGTTCTATTTATCTTTGACACTTTTTTTACCTTTGATATATATTATTTCATTTCTACCTTTTCCTCCAGCACACACGCGTGCGCGCGCACGCACACACACACACACACACATTTTTCCCTTGTTTTACTGAGTTACATGAGTTTTCATATCACCTCAAATCCTTTTTGGAAATCCTGTTTGGATGTAAACAGAGAGAAAACCTTATGAATATTTTGTTTCTATACCTAGAACATGATTTCTCAGCCCCAGTACAGGACAGTTTGTAGCACCGGGAGAATTCTTTTGTTGTGGGGCCCTCCACTGCATTGCTAGATATGTAGCAGCATTCCTGGCCTTTCCCACTAGATGCCAGTAGCGTGTTCCTGGTTGTGACAAGCAAAAATCTCTTATCATTGTCGAATGTCCTTTGGGAGACAAAATCGCCCCAGGTAGAGAACCACTGATTTAAAGATTGATTTCCAGTGTTTGGCCAGAAAAACAAAAAGGCTGGCAAAAATCAAATGCATCTAGCATTTACTATTATTAATTCGTATCTTTTGCTTCTTAATAGTGGCTTCTCCCTTAGAGCTAATAAAGCTTTCATTTAATTTTTCATGGAAAGTTTTGCTTATGTGTTGAAAGTGTCAAAACTGAAGAATACTACCAAACAACTCTGAAACAGCCATTCTGGTTTTTGTGAACTTAAATCCTGTAGATTTAAATTGCCCTGCACCTGGATGTATTTTATCACTGTTTCCTAATGGTGTGTACATCTTTGTAACATATATGCAACCAAGTCAGAGTTTTCTAAACAATTAGAATTTTCTAAACATGTAGCAGCAAGTGTGATTTCAGTGTTTCAGAATAAGCAAAGAAATAAACCATTATCAGTGATAGACCAAATGTAGCCTCTTGGTGGCACTGTTTATTTTTATAAAAATGATACCTCGGCTCCCAAAGATGCAGCCCTTGATGCATTATGCTTTTCAGAATATGTAGTTTAAGTTCAGTGAAATAAACCATTTTCAAGAGGATGCAGTTTCCATGGAAAGATTGTTGTACTGTCACTCTAACAGACTGTGATAGCTGTATCCACACAATTTGTTTTAGGTCAGGTTGGAGCTAAGGTAAGGTTTGTAGGCTGGCGGCAGGGTGTAATTACCCAAACAAAAAGACACAGATACAGTATGTCATCCCTGCTAATGACCACAACATTTTCTTGCTCAGTAATCTGTAACAAAAAGCCACATAAACGATCAGGTTGCATTTAAGTGCAGCACTACAGAAAAACTTGGTGGCACAAAAATTATTTCAGCCAATTGAGTGGAAATGACAGAGAATAATACCAAGTTATCTCTGCTAGGGAGATGTGTGTTTGGAATGTCACGAACGGACAGCGTGTGGAGAAGGCCACGCTTCCTTACAGGCACACTGCAATCTGTGTAAGTACATTCAGTCCCTTCAAAACATTTCTGGATTCTACAATTCCTTTAGAGGACTTGCTAAGCACATATTTAAAGAAAAGTCCTTGGAGGATATACTTTCCTTTAATTTTTCTTTTGTCCCTGGAATAGAACAGTGTCAGTTATCATCTGTTATTGTGATATTTTTCTTTCCCCAAAGTTAACTATTCAAGCATTGTTTTCCTGATTCTTTATTTCTGTCTTTCTAACATAGATACATTCGAAAGAAAATTTATTTTTATTTTTTTCTTAGTTGCACTCACAACACATACACAGACACATAGAAAGATTCAGTTTTAATGACAAGCTATTTTATAAAGCCAGAAAGTTTTTTTTTCTCGCCCTCAATTGTAACCATTTTTAGGTGGATAGGTTCTTATTTTTGAATTTCTTATATAAGAAAAGAGAGCAAAAGGTATAGCCATACCTCTATTTCCCAGTATTTAAAACAGATTTTACCTTTCGGTAGATGTACTCCAAGCATATAGGTAAGACAGTTGCATTATACAATAGCACTAACAGTGTTTTTTATATTTTATTAATTGCTTTTAGCATTGATGACTTGCACTATAATATTCACAACTCCTTTCTGGCACCAAAATCTTAATAGTGAGAGAGTTTGTCTAGAGTAGAATGTATTACTCAATCTTTGATAAAAACTGTTCTTAAAACTTATTTGGCACAAGAATTCCTTACATACTCTTCAAACACTTTTATTTCTCCTTAACATGAAGCGATGCTGCTAGGACAAAGAATCTGATTTTTGTTGTTGTGTAGTTCTACATAACATTCTAGAAATATAACAATTGTGAGATTTCTATGACTTGGAATAAGATTTCTTCTTCCTAAAAAGATCCTCCCTTTCTCAAGAAAAATAGTGAAATACAAATGAGACTCAAGCCCCAAATCAATACTTTAGCAATGTGGAAACATTGAACTAAAAGAAATTTTACTTGCTATTCATTAGCAAGTAAATACCTTCATTGAATAGATGATAACACTAAAATCCAGAGGAGTCTTCACCATAGCCCAAATTATGTTCATTGCTAGTGATATTTAAATCCTTACTTTTAATTTCATTTCCATAGTATTACCACTGCTCCTTCCGGATGACAGGGGAAGGCTGGCTTCTGTGTTGTGGAGAATATCAAGATGTTCTTATCATTGATGCTAAAAGTTTAGCTGTTATTCACACTTTTATATCATCTCAGTCTCCTGATTGGATCAACTGCCTGTGCATTGTACACTCCATGAGAATTCAAGGTAAGAGTTGTGTCTTATGTAGCACTGGGAGAATGCATATAAAAAGATCACTTTTGAACTATTTGTTGAACTATTGGGCAAGAGTTCAGAATTCTTCGTTGTGTTTACCTGTTGGTGGGGATAGTTCTCTAAGCCACATCAAGAAAACTGAGAGAATGCCTATGCCAGTGGTTCAAGTTGTTAGGAAGTCAGCAAGAGGTCAACATGAAATGAAAAGAGGAGACCGTGTTTCCATGACCCAGTTCATCGGTACATTTCAGGGGTGACAAGCAGGCATCTGTGGTGGATTAGCAAGACTTTTGGAACTTTTGCCTTGCTTTATCTTCTGGATCTCCTTACTTATTTCTGAAATAGGAAAATGTAATACTGACAACATAATCATTTGCAATATGGTTCTGCTTTTAGTGTGCTCCTCTATTCATGGAGGTCACTTTGAAATTTTGAAACGAATTAAAAATGTGATCTAAAATGTTTATTTTTTTATCAGAAAAATAACCCTAAAGCTGAATATGTTCCACCTATGTAACCCTATATAATCCTTAAATGACTGTGAAATGATCTCTACAGCAACCACTTATAACAGTGGTCAACATTTATGTGGCCTTCATTGTTTTACAGAAGATTCTCTCTTGGTGGTATCAGTAGCTGGTGAGCTCAAAGTATGGGATCTCTCTTCATCTATCAACAGCATTCAGGTTGGCTTGTGAAACTCTATTCTTTATTCTCCAATTTCAAGCAAATTTATTGATTTTTAAAAAATTAATTATAAAGGTGTTCACTGCTCATTGTTAAGAGTTCAAATAATGTAAAAGTGTATAAATTTTACCTCTGTACTTCCCCATCACTCCTCCAAAAGGTGGGCATTGATGACAATTAGACTGTATCCTTTCAACCTGTTCTCAGGGCGTATACAAATGTTTTTATCAGCACACACACATACACACACATATATTTTAATAAAAATAAATAAATCTATCATAGAAGAGTATCTTTCTGACCCTTGCAGCAGAAAGACCCCCTTCTCAGTGTATGTGAGCGGTGCCAGGGAGATGACTGTGAACAGCTGTGGTCACATGCTTTGGGAGTCGAGTATATTCACCTGTTCCCTGCATCAGGCTATGATTTGAGGTGGTGGATGAAAAACCAGTCATATTTATGCTGATGATAAAATTGTTTTAGCTGCCCCATGCTCTGAGGTCTCCTTTGGAATTTCTTAGAAATTCCTAGAGGAAGCCTAGGAATTGTGTTGCCATGATGAGCCCAAGAAATACACATCAGCATCATCAGAAACTTACTGTGAATATGGTAGTCTAGGTGTTCTGTGTTGGCCTCTCTTGTTTTTTCAAAGCAAAACTAAGTAAAGTTTTCTTTTTTAGCAATTAAGGTACTACAGGTTTTTTTTTAACATGTTACTTTTTTTGTTTATCTTTCCGCCATATCTGAAAATTAGAAACTTATTCATATCTTTACATTCTCAGCATCCAGCACAGTGCCCCACAGAATGCTTGGATGAATGATTATATATGAGGAATCCTTTAATCCAAGTGGGATTCCTATTCTTGGTTTCTTTTGTGAAGTGATTTCTTAGTTCAGGGAATTCAAAAGGAAACTGGAGTATTTTTTTTTTTTATAAAAATGGTCTGATCTATTTCAGATATACGGGGTAGTAAGTTTTCTGGTATAGTGATGTATAAATTACCTAGAACTGGTACTAAAATGTTCTCATTCCTTTTGAAGGAAAAACAAGATGTCTATGAGAAGGAATCCAAATTTCTCGACTCCCTGAACTGCCGGGCGATACGATTTTGCACATATACAGAGAGACTTTTATTGGTGGTATTTTCTAAATGTTGGAAGGTATTATAAAATGACAAGATAAATGGAATTATTTGTCCTTTATGACCCACTTATATCACTCTTCCTCTCCTTGCACTCAGCTGTTTTGCTTCTCAGGATATTATATGTATAAAATAAATCCTAATTTTATTAGTAACAGACCATAACAATAATGATTATTTATCTCTAGGTTATTTTAAATTTTGATGCCTGAGCTTTAGAATTAAAAAGCAAAGTAAACCCTTTCATCTACATACATTGATTTTATTTATGGACTTTGTTCTTTTTCTGCGTAGTTGCTATGTTCATTTCTAGGGAATATACATTCCTTTCTTATGGGTATATTTGCTGATCTCTCCAAGTAAGAATGAAAAGCTGACTTATTATCATTTAATAGCATCTCTTTCTCTTTAATGTTTCATATAGCTGGCCCAGCTAACAAAACTACATTGTCTTACTTATATGTTGATAATATATTTTTGAACAAAAATATAAAATATCTGGTCTAACAAAAGTTTTCTGCTGTGTAAACTTTTTGTATAATACCTTTTTAAAAGTAGAAATTGGACTACCATACAGAAGGAATAAAATTATATATAAATTTTGGGATTTTTGGTCTCTGTGCTTAATGGGCACATTCTGAAATGGTATAAAGTTTATTCACTAAACCTATCTTAGGATAAATGTGAAAAAATAAGTACTAGTAAAATATTATCTTGGTGCATGAGTATAGTGTGTCCAGTAACTAATATTTAATATATTGTTGTATTAATATGGCCATCTAGATAGTCTTGATAAGCCTAATTTATCTTTCATCTCATTGTCAGATTAGATTAGAGGCTTTTGGTAATGTGCATCATTAATTTTGTATTTTAGGTTTATGACTATTGTGATTTTTCCCTTCTGCGGACTGAAGTTAGTAGAAGTGGGCAGCTTTTTGCTGGTGGAGAGGTGCTTGCTGCTCACAGAATCATCATCTGGACAGAAGATGGTCACAGTTACATCTATCAGCTGCTGAACAGGTGGGCTCAGATGGGAGCGGCATACAAAACATTCAGGTAGAAAATGAACTTTGGGAGGTTTATTATGGAAAAATCTCTGCATGCTGCCCATGATCAAAAACCAGAACAAAACAACTTTGGCACTAGAAGATTTACTCTGGGCTTGGTAGGCTTCAGCCTTTGTATAAAACAGCAGGGGATGAAGGAATGAGATTAACCATGTATAACTTGTACAGCTGGTGCTGGGTTTTCAAAAAGTCACTTGTAATTATTAACCCAACAATTTCTAACTAAAGTTTAGAAATTTGAATGGTACCATCCGGCTTTTGAAAGTGGTAGGAGGAAAAAAACGAATAAAGAAGCCCAAAGTTCTAAACTCTGCTTTTTATTTTTTGCCATGCAGTGGGCTTTCAAAAAGCATATACCCTGCTGATGGAAGAGTGCTTAAAGAGACCATTTATCCTCATTTACTGTGCTCTACTTCTGTGCAGGAAAATAAGGTAATGCAAGGAGAGAGTGACTGCCTCAAAGCAGCTTCACTCCGCATCTTAGATAAGTGTTGCTTTGTCTGTAACAGAGTCAGACTTGAAAAAATTGAATGGAAGAATCACATCAAGTTGTCAATGAGAAAATCAAATCTAATTGTTAATGGGTACTGAAGAGAAAACTTTGCCTTCGAAAAATATATATTTTAAAGCTGGAGTAACTAAATGATATATATTTGTTAGAGAAAAATAATGAAAGTTAAAATTAAAATTAAAAGTTAACAATGGAGGAACTAAAATTCATAATTTTGCCACCATAAATATTCACAAGGAATGTTTTTATGTATTTACTTATTTTAATAAGAAAACTTTCAAACATTTAAAAAGTTTCAGAATAGCATAATGATCACTTATCTACCCTCTTGCTAGATATACCAATTGTCAACATTTTGCCATATTTATTCTCTCTCTCCCTCCCTCCCTCACCCCACCACAGACACACATTGTTCACTGATCCTTTGGAATATGTTTTAGTGTGAAGTTATTAATATTTTGATGTGTCTACTCCGATTTTTAAATTTTATCAAATGGTTTATATCCTTTTTTAACTCAATATTATAGTTTTCCCATATGTTTAGCTATTCTTCTGAATAAATTTTCTTGCCAAAACAAATTTAATTGTGAATCCTGGCAGAATTGAGGATATAATTAATTGTGTGTTTTTACTTAACTGAATTTTATCTTTGACACTCTACGTAGCCTGACCCTTTTAAAGTTATTTTATTTTAGCAGTGCTACCCAAAGTGGGATTTGTTCTTGTTATTGTGACTATTAACCTGGAGACTTAGTTATCAGTTAATTATCCAAGGAGGTATTTCCTGGAGAATAAGGACTTTGGATTACTGGTGTGTCAACCAAGGAAACATGCTATTTTTTACGGAGTGATGATTTGCTTAATTAGGCAGCTTAGCCATTGGAGAACCTATAGTTCTGTGACTGTCCTTTAACATATCTGCAAGGTTTTGTTGCAAAAACTTGATGAAGAAGCTGCCAGCCACAAATTAGAACTCTGAGTGCCACTGGAGCACAGGCAAACTTCAGAATTGTGGCATCAAATACTATTTCGAAGGTCATTGGTGAGTGGCAGTCGAGACTTGCTTTGCTGTTGATCATAAGCGCAGTCGTGTGGCTAACTCAGAAAAGCATTTCCAGTTATTTTGTAAAGGACCTGCATGCCCATTCTTTCTTTTAGCTCCAGAATGCACTTTTTATAAAGCAGGTTTCCCCAAAAGCTAAAATATAAGTAGTGTCCTTTAAGATCTTCTAGTCAACTGCAAATATCAATGCTATGAGGAAAAACACAGCAATTACAAATTAACTTAAGAAAATACCAATCTTAGGGAAGCCACTTTATTTTGCTTTTCAAAATGTGAAGACATAGATCTATGGATCTTTTATCAATAATTCTTAAATAATCTTTTTTTTAAAACATTTACTTCTGCGAGAGAGAAAGAGGACCTGTGCAAGTGGGGTAAGGAGAGGGTGGGGGGAGAGAGGGAGAGAGGGAGACACAGAATTTGAAACAACTCCAGGCCCCAAGCTGTTAGCACAGAGCCTGACGCAGAGCTTAAACTCATGAACCGTGAGATAATGACCTGAGCCGAAGTCAGACACTTAACCAACTGAGCCACCCAGGTGCCCCTCAACAATTCTTGTTTAGACAACCACAGTCATTTCTTCATCTTAAAAGTTGGAAATACTTGGAAACCAGTGAAAGATGAATAGCATAACTGGAAACTAAAAGAAGCCAATCTACCCACCCTTATACCCTTGCTTGTCCTTTGTCCAGCCAGAAACTAAAGCCTAACATTATTTTCCTTATTTGAAACATCACCAATATTCCCTAAATATAAGATTTCTTAGTCTCTCCTGAAGTTAGAAGGTAACATTTTGATGGGGTGGGGAGATAAGTTAGTAGGTACAATGAGCTTGGAAAAGGGTATTCTATAAATATGTGGTATTAAGTGAACTCTTCTTTTTTTAATTTTTTTAATGTTTTATTTATTTATTTCTAGGAGAAAGAGAGAGACAGTGTGAGCAGGGGAGGGTCAGAGAGAGACGGAGTGACAGACTCTGAAACAGGCTCCAGGCTCTGAGCTGTAGTCAGCCCGACGCAGGGCTCGAAACCACGAACCGCGAGATCATGACCTAAGCCAAAGTTGGACGCTTAACCGACTAAGCCACCCAGGCGCCCCTTAAGTGAACTCTTCTTTGGGAATGGCACTTTAGACTTAAATCTGAGTGTTTGACAGTAACATGTTCCCGGAGTTACCATTTGTGATGTTAGGAATGTATCTGCTGATGAAGTTATAGTAGCAAAAGGAGACTAGCCCTTCTTTCGGTAGCTTCCTAAGAGTTTCCCAAGCTTCCAATCATAGCTGATGATCACTGAGGCCTGTGGCAGGGGTCCTGGGTGTTGACATGGGGCACTGGCCTTACAGGACTTAGCTGTGGAGTAACTGCATGGCTGAGGTAAGAGTACAGCCTGAGGATTGCATATAAGGAATTGGGTGCATGAACCAAGAGTGATAACAATGATGATGATGGGTAATTTTTTTTGAGTCCTTATTATTATCACATACACACACTCCTTCATTACATGCATTCCCACTGTGGCCTCACTTTGCAAATCATGTTCAGAGAGGTTAATTTCTAGGATTTGAACCTGGGCAGTTTGGCCCGAGTCTGGGAGTTGGACTTTGGAGCAAGTTTCTCAATTGTTCTGAAAAGCAGATAATAAGAATGATTAATCTGTACTGAGTATGTACCAAATGCAGGGCACCATTCTAAGCACCTCACCTTTAACAATTCATTAATACTAACAGCAATCCCAAAGAGTAGGTGCTTTTATTGCCCTTCTTTCACATTTAGGGAAAATGAGACACAGAAAGGTTAGTAAGTTGTCCACATCAAGTAATTGGCGCTTTTAACAGAGTTAATACATGCTAAACTAGGATTTGAATCCAGGCAATTAACCCAAGAGAATTCTCTCTTTTTTTAAATGTGTATTTATTTAAATTCTGAGAGAGATGGAGCAGGGGAGGGCCAGTGAGAGAGGGAGAGGGAGGATTCCAAACAGGCTCTATGCAGTCAGTGCAGAGCCTGATGTGGGGCTCAATCCAGTGAACCATGAGATTATGAGTCAGATGTTTAACCAAGTGAGCCACCCAGGCACCCTGAGAATTCACTCTTAAGGACTATTTTATTGCCTTTTGGAGGGCAGGTGTTTCTTGTGATGAATACTGGGTACTGTGATGAAAAATCAGAGTTCATATGGTTAGGGGCTCTGAGCAGAGTTTCCCGGTGAATAGACAGAACTAGAGGGAATACTGCGAAGGATGAGGGCGGAGGTGACAAGGAGTGGGTGTGAGCAAGTAATAAATGGCAGTGGAATAGTAGGTACAGAGTGGGTAACTGCAGCATGGGAGCATAAGCGGTCAGGGGAAAAGAGGCCTGCTGCCTGCTACCAACTCCAGGAACCGAATAGCCGCCCAGGCTCTCTGTATCAAAATCATGAGGGAGTTGGACTAGTCTAAAGTTCTTCAAGGTCAAGAGAGTTTGAGAAGCTAGTTTGGCAGTGTACCAAATTATATCGACAGTTTCTAACACCTACAAAAGTGATGGCTTGAGAAGTATAAGACTCGAAAGTACCTTCTAAATCTGTAGAAACAACTTCCTAGGAACTGTTTTCTCCTCTGCAATACTCTCTTGTTGGGGACTACCGTTGCATGCTCTTGGATTCCTTTCATACTCGCTTCCTGTCTTCATTTGCTTTTCTCCATAACTGGAATAAGAGCAGTGTTTACTTACTCTGTAGCTTTGTTGTGAGGATTAAATAAAGCAATGGTTTGGCCTTTCATATTCTCCACAGATATGTTATAGAATTTTTCTAATAATACATCAAAGTCCTGACCTTCAAGCATATTTTCTGATGAGGAACTATCACTTTCTTAGACTTTATTACTTCCAGCACCAGCAGTTGGCTTTCTTTCCAGGGTGCCTTTTATTTGTACACCAAAATAAGTTTTTGTTTTTATAATCACTTAATCATTTTGATCCCTTGTTCATAATCTCTATATGCAAATCTGCCCAAAGAACATCTACACTGCACTGAGGCACTAGAGAGATTCTAGACTCATTACACTAGTAAAGGCATTTCTTCCAGAACTTTGGTGCCCAATATTCATACTCTGCCTTAGCAAAATTATAGCTTTATGTATGTGTATAATATATAATATGTAATGTATTGAAATAAACTATATATATTTACTTATATTAGTATTTGTTTACTTCTTTGTATGTAATGGACTCATTTTTATTTGTGACCTCTTGGAATGTTTAAAATCAAATATATAAATCTGTAAAGTAGTTAACAGAAAGTTGAAAGCATACTAATCACACCAAATTACCATACATATATTATTTGTTGCTATTTTAATTGACAATTGGAACTGAACAGACCAAAAGAAATCAAGCCTCCTTAGTGGACAGTAGAGTGGGGTCATGAAGGCATGGACTCTTGAGTCTGAACTGTTGGACTCATAAGCATATTGCTGTCTGTTATCACTTTGGGTAAATCAATCTCCACTCTAAGTTTATTCATCTGGGAAATGGAGACAATGATAATACCAACTTCACAGAATTACTGTGAGGATTATTTAGTGGAATAGATGTAAAGCCCCTAACAGTATGTGTAATATAGACATAGAACATGTTAAGTAAACGTTAAATATTCTTATTAACTCTGAAGTCTAGCTGATGACTTTGCTTCTTACCTTATGGAAACTTTTTTGTCTTGAGTAAGAGATGATTTCACTTAAGTTACCTTGAAATTTTTGAAAGAGCGGGAAACAAATGGAAACAATTCAGTTAATCTATAAAGTCTTATTCCTTCATTTGAAAACAGTGGTTGTCATTTTATATTTATATTTTTTTTTTCTACATAAAAGCTAACTTTTTGTTTTGGACCAGGGCCTTTCCTTTGTTATGGGCTACATGAATGAAAGGAAAGAGCCTTTTTATAAGATACTGTTCTCTGGAGAAATCTCAGGAAGAATTACTTTGTGGCACATCCCTGATGTTCCTGTATCCAAGTTTGATGGTTCTCCTAGAGGTAAGACAGTTTCTAATCTATTTCTAATCACATGCCTTCTGGGAACTAGTTTATAATTAACTCAGAGTTTTTCTCATTTGAGTAACATGAGGGTACAAGTAAGATAAATTTTCTCATGTACCACACTATGCATTAGATGCCAACATAAAAGGAGGTATAAACATGATGTTTATAGATCTGGTACAACAATACAACTGATATAATTCAAATGAACATCAATTTAACAGGAATGATGTTTTATTCAAATGAAATGGGAGCTTTCAATATGGACGTAGGATAGGTTGATATGGCATACTCATGTTTTTGAATTTGTCATGCCCATGTCCATCCTGTACCCTTTACAACCAGTTCCTCTCCTGGTATTATTACAGCTGCTTGGAATGGCAAGGGCAGATGTAAACGTGGCCACCAAACCATGTGGCTCTTTGAACTATTAGATGATTTACCATTTGCTTATTTTCGTTTTTCTTAGAATACAAAACTGAAATCATTAAAGGAAACATTATTGTGGAGAACCGTCAAGGTCCTGAGACTTAGGTATTCCAAACTGAGAAAGCCCGTCCTACTCTTCTCTTATTCCCAAATCATTAAGATATCTCTGAATCACTGTCTGAGGCACAGCAGAAACAAGGTCCTCAATATTTGAATTCCAAAGCACAAGTTTCCGTTACTTAACAAACTCACTGGCTTAAGTTTCAGTGTCTTTGTCATAAATGTTTTCAAAACGGTTCCTAATAGTCCTAGGTTAATAAGAAAATGGCCAAAAAATAGATTTAGAACTTGGTACAGTGTATGGAAAAGTTTCTTAGAAGTTCTATATTAAGAGTTAAAATGTATACCATGCCCCTGCTAAGGCCATCTAATGGTGACTAGGATTTCTCATGCATGTACCACTGCCAGCAGCGGAATTAAGGAGGCATTTAGGTAATTTTCTTTATAACTGGAACCATAGACATCTATGACAACACTTGATGCTTGTCTACGTTTTGGGGTCTAGGTTTTTCATAATCACTGTGGCACATGTACTGCAAGATTAGGGATGCCCTTTCATAGAGAAGTAGGTGGCTCTGACTCGCCCTCTTTGCTCCTGGATCCAAGCCTCTCTCCCTTCAAATGCTTAGATGATGAGCTACATAGAATGATAATCAGTGCTCTCAGTAATTCTTAGATATTTGCCTGGGGGCTTGGTATGATTTTGAGATACTCATACCCTTCATATTCAAAGAATACATTTCTTCCATTTTCTTCACACAACTAACAGACCCTCAGTTTTCCTTCTTAACATTGCTGAGACAAATAGAGAACTCATGAGACTAGACCACCACTTTACATCACTGCAAGAGTTTCTCCATTCTTTTCAGTTGACCTAGGTCTAAAATGAATGCACTAATACACATCTATTCTTCTGAGGCTGCCTGAAGGACAGAGGACCAATGAGATAGCATCTTGAGTAAAGACAATAGAAGGCAGGAGAACTTTTCTGCATATAGCCACTGTTAGGATGGCAAAAGAGCCTCTGTGGACCACAAGGGATGGTGCCTTGATAACAGTTTCCATGTCTATGATGAATTTATAAGCCAAATTTTCCCTTTTTGTGTGTTTTCCTTTTAGAAATACCAATAACTGCCACCTGGACCCTTCAAGATAATTTTGATAAGCATCATACCATGAGTATTATCGACTATGTCTCTGGGGCTGCAACAGTGGCAGTCACTTCATCAGAGTATGTTTCAAGTCTTGATAAACTAATATGTGGCTGCGAAGATGGGACCATTTTCATTACACAGGCTTTGAATGCTGCCAAAGCAGGACTTCTAGAAGGCGGTTCTTTATTAAAAGGTCATTGAATTTTATTTAACCCCATTTATTTAATTTACTTAAGCTTCAACTTTAACAAGCTGTATTAAGAAGATTGCCAAAGCTTAAAAAATTTGCTGACATTTGCTAATTAATGTGTACATATTTTAATGTTAAAGTAAAATGCATATCTGGGTTTTTTTAAATAATCAAATGGAGGGTTATACAATGAGAAAATATGTTTCTCTTCTTCCTTGATCTTCCTGCTTCCTTCACCAAAGGCAACTGCTAATAAGTTTCTTTATACCCTTAAAATTTTCTCTGCATATACAAGTACATACCAACCTAGCAATATGCATTCTTTTAATTATATTATGCAAATGGAGGCATGTTCTATACACTTTACCGAAATACCCTGAAACATATCTTAATAAAATATTTTGGAGCACATTCTTTATGAGCTCATTTTAAATGACTAATAATAATCAAATTTTCATTTTAAAATATCTCTTATTAATGGGTGTTTCGGTTTTTCTAGTCTTTGGCTTTGAGAGAAAATGCTGAATTAACCATCTTTGCACATATATGTGGTCATATCTATAGTATGAATTTGCAGGAGTAGAATTATGGATCAACACTTATGAATATTTTTAATTTTGAAAAGTTATTAAAATGTTCTCCAAAGAACATCTGTGTACATGTGTCTCCACTAATAGCCTATGAAAATGTCTTTTTCCCACACCTTAGCCAACTTTGTGTGCTATTAAACATTTTAGGATTTGCCAATCAGAAAAAAATGGTATCTTCCTGTTTTAATTTTAATTTCTTTGTTAATATAAACATGTTCTTATCTATTTTTGCCCATTTCAACAGTGAATATCTATTAAATAAAGACTGTTATGCAGTAAGTTTCTTATGTAAAGGAAGGAAAATGCAGGAAGTGATTGAGATTTTGGGATGTGTAGGTAATGTCTGATAGTTTTTAATGCATGGATCCTACTAGACTATAAGGTCCTTAAGAGATAAGGCCAAATCTCAATTTTTAAGACACACCTTGTTACATTGCCTGTTCTCAGCTTACTTTGACTACTTACTAAATGTTACTAATTTGTATTCACTGATTGCGTGAAAGAAAGGAGTGAATAGCAATGAACCGAGGAGAATACTGCTCCATGGCTCAATGGCTGCTATTAAAAGTTAGTGAAAAAGCTTAAGACCTTAGCACTTTTAATCTAGGCTGATTTTTCTTATCCAGAAAAAAAGCAGAAAGCTACATTTGACTTGAATATCTGAATTAATAGTCATCTTGGTTTGCTGAGGGGATATAAAGTGAGCATGTGTCTCCTGGAAGTGAAATAACTAATGATTCTTTAATCAAAGTAGTAATGACTCTTTGGGACTCTTTCTCAGTTTTAGGAAAGAGGGTTTGTGGTCTATGGTCTTCTCCATTTTTTTCTGTTTAGTTTTAGTTTTAGCTAATGATGAAGTCAGAGGCTGTATGGAAACTGAGTGTCAGTAGTCCTATGCTCTAGTAGAGCTATGGTATGAAATACCCACATCCTTACCAAGTGCCAGTGCTAGGAAATGAAAGACATTATCTTATTTATTCTACACAATAGTCTTGTGTGAAATAAGTGCTATTATTGTCCCAGGGTTTTCAGATGCAGTGCCTGTGGCTTAGAGGGGGAAAAGCAACTTGTCATGGTGACCCGTCTAGTAAGTAACAAACCTAGAAAACCAAACCATTCATGTAATAGCAAAGCTATGCTCTTAAACATTATGCTGTGCTTTTTCACCCTTGGATTCAGGTCACGTAACTTATCTGAGCCTCAGGTACTTTATCTGTAAAACAAAAAGGTAGAACTAGATAATCTCTAATATTTTTTAAGGCAAAAAAGTATTTGGTGAAACTTTGCTTTTCTTTTATACTAGACTTGGTTATGCTTATTAAAAGGGCAGCAGTAATGTTCTGAGATTAATTTTTATAGAAGCAAAATGGATAAACTGTTCACTCTTTTAGAACAGCCTTTGCTATTTGATGGCACTGGAATTGGTAACTTGCTAACATCCTTAGAGAAATTGTAGACTTCGAATAACTGGCTTTAGTGCTTCATCAGAAGCATGACGTAGCTTATAAGGAGATGCTTGCCTTTTGAAATGGTTCAAGGATTGGTCATTCATTTTAACTTTAATTTGTGTATCTTCTTTACATTAAAATTTTATAAAAGAAAACTTCAATACTATTTCTTGAATAAAAAGAATTTTTTCATTATTTGGTGTTTGGTTGTTTTCCAGATTCCCTTCCTTACAAAGTGCTCAAAGGCCATCACCAAAGCATTACTTCATTACTTTATCCACATGGTCTCTCTTCAAAATTAGACCAAAGTTGGCTTGTGTCTGGAGACCAGGATTCATGTGTCATCTTGTGGAATATCTTTACTGAAGAAATTCTGCATAAATTCTTTTTGGAGGCTGGTCCAGTAACAAGTCTTTTGATGTCACCAGAGAACTTCAGAGTAAGTTAAGACAAACCGTAAAATATAACATAAATTTTTTAAAATTTACTTTGAGGGAGAGAGCATGAGCTGGGGAGGGACAGAGAGAGGGAGAGGGAGAATCCCATCAGGCTCCATGTTGTCAGCACAGAGTCTGATGTGGGGCTCGAGCTCACAAACCATGAGATTATGACCTGAGCCAAAATCAAGTCAGATGCTTAACTGACTGAGCCACCCAGGTGCCCCTAATTTAAAAGTTATATAACATTGCAGAATGTTTAAAAAACATAAGAAAAATTAACCCATATTGCCCTAGAAAAGTTCTATGTACCTTAATACAACTGGGTAAATTTTATAAATTCCTTTCTAAATGTTTATGGGCATTTTAGTCTTATTACAGCTTATGCAAATAGTTTGATTCTAAAGTAAAGATTTTATCAATTCTTGGTTTCAGAATAGTCTGTTAATTCTCTTACTTTTTTTTTCTTTTTTCCCCTAATTCTTTATCTTAATTTTAAGTTTAATTTTTAAATTTTTTGTTACTGTTTTTTTAAATGTTTATTATGTTTTTGAGAGAGAGAGACAGAGTACATGTGTGCATGAGCAGGGAAGGGGCAGAGAGGGACAGGGACAAAGTATGCAAAGCAGGACTCTGTGCTGACAGCAGAGAGCCCAATGCAGGGCTCAAACTCATGAACCCTGAGATCATAACCTGAGCCAAAGTGAGACGCATAACCAAGACCCACCTGGGTGCCCCTAATTATTTTGTTTAGGAAAAGATATTGACATTCAATATAGAAGCAATTCAAATATATAGGAATCTATACATTAGAACTTTTGCCTTCAATAATTTACTTTTATAACAATACTGATAGTTATATTTTTTCTTAAATAGATTTTTGTTAGCTCTCTTTCATTTGTTTAACAAATACATAGCTCTAACAAATTTCTGAGTATCTACCTTGTGCAGGACAAAAGGAAATATTTACAGATATAATTTTCTTATGCAATATAAACTTAACTTCAGCTTCCATAAAGCTGACATCTTTAACTTTTGAGTTTCCTGAGTTTGTCAATTACTTGATTGACTTGCCAGAATTATCTCTCTCTGATATTTAAAAATTCAGCTGCAAAGTAAACTCAGAGAAAACTTACACTGTATTTTTGTAGTAATGCATAATGAAAGAAACAAATCAGTGCAACAAAGTTAAGGGACCTTAAAAAAAAGACTTCCATATGGGGATTTGGGATACTCTGATATGTCTTTTATTGCTGAAGTTCCCTTCTTTAACCATTTTTTTTCCTCAAAGCTCCAAGACAGTAGTCAAATCCTGACCCCTTTTACTTTTGCCTCAGTCACAGATAACTTAACTCCAAGAATCATAACCATAAGCCAAATAAAAGGGGGTTTATTGAAAGGGCATGAGAGCCAATATTTTAGGCATACAAGACAAAACACTCTGCAGCAAGGAGACTGTGCAATTTGAACTTATATTCAGAAACCAAGGTTACTCTTCAAGTCTCCCATCCAAAGGAGTCTGTTTTCTGTGATTGCTCCTTTTTAAAATTTTGTTTATTTATTTTTGAGAGAGAGAGAACAGAGGAGGGGCAGAGGGAGAGGGGGGACAGAGGATCCAAAGTGGGCTCCGCATGCCAACTCAAACACACAAAGCATGAAATCATGACCTGAGCCCAAGTCAGACACTTATCGATTGAGCCACCCAGGTGCCCTTGTGAACTCCTTTCTCTTGCTTCTTCCTATCACTTCCTTTAGCTTTACAATTTCAAATCTGTAGAAAAGAGAATCTGATTGGCCTAGTGTGGGTCTCTAGTGTATGTCTACCTCTGGCTATAGGATCTATGTTCACATGTTGCGTGTATGTTTACATGTGATATATAAGTATAATTTTCCTGAAGTACGCTGGCTCTATTCTAGAAGCTGTGGGTTGTGCTGGTTCTGTAAAAGATAGTAGTAGGGAGGAATGCCACCTGCCTTATTCTAAAAGTCTGGGTTCCCCATATAACGCACCTGCCATTTTGTGATTTTTTCCCCCCTTAGGATTCTGTAGTCTCCTTAGAATTAGGAAGAATTACTTGCTCCCCAGCACCCCACAGAAAGAGGTCAGTAATGGGCATAGGGATAATCTCAAGGGATCCCAACCGAAGCTTTAAACACAGCAGCTGAAACTGTGGCTAGATGCCCTAGTAAAGGTAGGAGCATCCACATGGCAAAAATGGTTAGAAAAGAAACAAAGAGGTAGAAGAGCCACTACCTGCTCCCCCTCTCTCCCTTACCCCACCCCACCCACCCCCCCATCACGGAACTAACACATGGCCCTCCTGGTGAGGCACAGACCTGCCCTGTTAACTCCTCCCAGACTAGCCTCACAGCAACCAGTATGGATGGTCTTTGTCCTAAACTGTGTTCAAAGTAACCACATGCTGACTATTTAAAAGTATCTTAAGAATCTTTGTCCTGTGAGCCTATTTTTGGTCCTTGTATCTTTGAAGCTGTGCATTCAGTTGGAACTATCTAATGCTTACCTCTTTTAGATTGTGTCTACACTGAGTTTCCTGTTTGGATTAGAATCTGAATAGTTCTGGGAACAGCACCAAATCACATTTTGAGGCTCTAAGTGGAAAATATCAGTTCATGATACCCTTGGGCCTAAGCTTGTGTCTACAAATAGCATCATTTTGTGGCAACAAATTAGTTCTGGGGTTTATTTTATTCTGTATTATTTCCGATGTCTGCCTCACTACCTGAATTTGCTGAGTGATGGTCAAGTCCTTCATTTATCTTATATTTGGCTTGGAATTCTCCTTTTTCACTTGTGTCTCTTGACTTTCCTAATTGTTGAATTTAAAATCGACTTGGTATTTAAAACCCCTCTTTATAGTGTTATGTGAAGAGGTCCTGTAGAAAACAGAAATGTTGTTCTGTAAATGGTATTTAAACAAAATATTTTGATGTTGCTAGGGAGGAATTTCTGATTTAATTTTAAGGAAAACATTTGACTATTTACTTACAAATAACTGTTTTGTTTTGCCATAGCTAAGAAGTGATCAGGTGATTTGCTGTGTATGCAGTGACCATTCCGTGGCTCTCCTTCACCTTGAGGGGAAGAGGTGCCTTCTGCACGCCCGGAAGCACCTTTTCCCCGTGAGGATGATAAAATGGCACCCGGTTGAGAATTTTCTCATTGTTGGATGTGCTGATGACTCCGCTTACATCTGGGAAATTGATACAGGTAAATTGGAACTTTACCCCTTTGATTCTTTACATATTAATGAGTCAGAGCATTTGGCTGGGTGGAGAGCTCCAGAGAATACAGGGTGACCACCTCACTGCTTTAACCTTTTGTTGGGCTGCATTTGATGCCTCTGGTTGAAGGCATGTGTGGAAAATAAAACACAGTGGCCCAAGTAAGATCTTGACCAACTCATGATTAGCTGACAGAGCATTGCACAGGAATGAGCCGGATATTTCTGGAAGCTATAAATAAAAACATAAGTTATCTACTTTAATTATTAACAAGAGAGAAATTTAGTGTCCTACTACTCTCAAATTATCATTAAATTCTGCCTTCTTCAGCATACTCATGATCTCAGCAACATTTTTGAGCTAATTGATGATCAGTAATAATGGAATATAATTAATTACAAAACTCCAAAAAGTTGAGTCAGGGAAACTGAAAACTGAGTGGCTCAGTTGAACTTTTGATGGCTGTCATGTGGAGAATGTATGGTTTGAACTTCAAAGTTAAAAAAAAAAAGTTTTAGTGTATAATGCAAGATTGAGAGTAACACATTTCAGGCAGATGCTGGGAACTTATCAAATAAGGCAAGGTAATTAATGAATGTGAGTCAGGGGAGTGTGCTTGAGAGTACATTTCACTGAAACTATAGCATGATATTTATTGATTAATCAGTGGTGGTTTTATGTTGGGTGTTATTAACAGACTGGATAGTTTATAATATTACAGTTTAGAGTCATACTTCACCAAAATAATTGCTATTTTCTTTACTTTTGACTTTCATGTGTTAATGATGATGACTAATGTACTGCTGTATGGAGGGTGCAATATAACTCTGTTTTACGTTTGTACCTGCTTTACAGCTGTGATAGCCTTCCATATTCATTTCCCATTAGATTATCACAACTTCTAGGGTAGGTGGAGGAGGTTTTATTCCCCATTTTACTGATGAGGAATTTGTAACTCCGATTTGTTCATGTGCAAGATTACATTGGTAAGAAGCAGTGAACCAATATGAGGGCCCTGTCTTTCTTTGCACAATATGCACAAAATTAGAAGAGTTTTCGAATTTTTAGGTAATCTATCAAGCTGAGTGACAATTGAGTATAATGGATAAAACGAGCTCTAAAGCCTGGGCTTGCTTCCAGGACCTGCTAAGAAAGGTTGGCCTTAGGTAATAACTTGGTTTCACTGCATGTCAATTTCTACATCTATGAAATGGGAGTAATGATACCACCTTCCTGTCAGGATTAAATTAACTAATACTGACCATGCTTGTAAACAATGCCTATAGGTGCTAAGGCCTTAGTAATAGTTAACTATTAATAATATGATCAAAGAATGCAGTAAAATCTTGGTTTCTGCTTGTGGAATCTAAGTCTGTAAAACACATGCACTTATAAGTGTGCGCAATTTCATTGGTTTCAATTGTGAAATTGTGAATACTTGCTGAAAACCATTTTTTCCGAGAAAAAAGAAATTTCTGGGCACTGACAAGTATTTATAGTTCCATTGCCCCATCGGGATAACTCTCAGCCTATGCAGCTTTTTATTTACGTAGCTTTTGATGGGGTGGGCGGTAAAGGGGGGGAAGCCAAACCATTAGTACTTCTTGAAACTGTATTTGTTCCTCCATCATATTTTAATTTTATTATTTATTTTTATACTCCCCAATCCCTAACCAAATATTGTAGAACATTTGAAAAATACAGAGAAAAATAAAGAAAAACAAATAATCCTTTCCCACTGCCTAAAGATAACTGCTATTAATATTTTGATCTGTTTTCTGTCAGACATCTTTCTATGTCAATAAATAGATGCATATATTGTGTTTTAGTCATGATCCTAGCAGAAAATTGACTTTAACCCAGGTTGGTCAAATGAAGAGACTTTAATGAAAGGAATATTTATAAGAGTGTGGAGAGGACTTAGGGAAAAGATCCCATCACCCAGATGCTGGTAGTATCAGGAAGCTCTTATCACTTCCCTAGGGCTGAAGCAACAAGAGGAGAAAATAGTGTTAGTGGAATCCTGTGAGAGTCGAAGCCATGGAGGACTGGTCATTCATTCCCTGAAGTCATGGAAGACAAACAGCTCCTCCCAGAGATGAAGAACTGAGACAAAGAAAGAGTTGGAAGAAATTATTTTCTCTCTCCCTCTGCGATCACATTCATTAGTTTGATCCAACTGCAAGTCAGAGAAGAAGGACATTCAGTTCTGGGCATTAGTCAGGGGCTCAGAGTAGATGCAGAGGAGTAGGGAAAGGGTGGAATAGGTTGTCAGTCAATGGACAGAAATTGGCATGGTGGCCACTATGGACACACCATACTTTAACTTGGAAATCTTCTGCAGTTGGTCATGTAAATATTTTCCTTTAAAAAAGTCTGTTTTAGAATTTCCTATCAGAGGCCCCTGGGGGGCTCAGTCATTTAAACATCTGACTCTTGATTTTTGGCTCAGGTCATGATCTCATTGTTCATGAGTTTTGAGTCCCCTATCAGGCTCCGTGCTGACAGCAAGAAGCCTACTTGGGATTCTCCCTCTCCATTTCTGCCCCTCCCCCACTCACTCTCTCTGTCTCTCTCTCAAAATAAATAAACTTAAGAAATAAAATAAACTTTCCATACTGAATAGTGTGTACATGTTTAGTGCCAAATAAAACTATAAAATATCTGTTTCAAGTAAGACTGCGAGGCTATTTATCTCATGGTTATCTACATTAATATTTCATAAACAACCTTAATTCAACCTAAGGTGGAACTTATAATTGGTGAAACTATCACTAATCATTATATAAATGCCTTCACGTTTGTGATGTGCCTCTTCGGTTTTTCAAAACATCCTCCCAATTAGCAATTTTATTTGAATTAACACTGTGCACATGGCTGACACTCTAAATTTCCTCACCATGCTCATCCTTTCTCGATAACTTTATGTCGTTCCTTTTAGCCTGTGCCTGGCATTGGCTTTGTTTTGGGTTGCTTTTAACCTCTGCAATTCCAATTTTGTTTAAAATAGAATGAAGTACTTTTTCTTTCCCTAGTTGGATTTCATCTGACTAAAATACTACCATCACATTCACTGGGCTAGATTTCTGTTGCATCATTTCTCTGTAGAAGTGGGAAAATCCAGGATCGGGAAGCTTTTCCATTTACAGTTTCATAAAATTAGTGTAAAAATACCAGCTAAGACCAAAACAGTTTGGCTGAAAAAAGGCCTAAGAGGCTATAGATCATGCTTGCTCACTGATGTATGTGGCACATGGATACATAAATGAATGAATGAACTAAAAAATTTTCTTGGACTTTAGTAGACTGAGTAAAAATGAGTTTACCTTAACTCTGGCCCCTGTGGTGGCTCTTAGATCATGGCTGCCCAACTGTAAGTTGCTTTCTCCTCTAAGTCTTCCCTACGGTTTCTGGAGTTCATGGGGCCTGTCTCATCTCCTCAGGTATAAGTCCGTGTATTTTCTACTCTAGTCAGTTTTCCTGGGTTCTTCTCTTTTAGTTTTGCTAGAAGGTTCACACTTAGTTCCAGGTGTGAACAAACTTACTCCCTGCTCCACTTCCCCAGTACTCTGCCTCCTCTAAATACATGAAGGCAGAATAAATTGACAATAAGGCATTTTCCATCCAGGTCTTTCAGCATTGGAACAACTCTTAAGCTCATAGAGGAAGTAGGAGGTGTGAGACACAGATTTGTGGGAAAGGGGCCTAGAAAAAAAGGCAGGGAAGAGGACTGAGGCAAAAAGTAAACCATTCTCAACTGTGCCAGAAGTCTGCTTTGGTGCAAGGTCAAGGGTGGGATATAAGTCACTCCCTGCCCCACCTTCCCCCGGTGTGGAGGATAGAATATGAGAATTTGTCAGTTTTTCACAACCCTTTAAAACAGCCTATTCTCACTTTATTCATGGGATTTATGTATTCATGTATTTATTCTCTGGGGTAAGATGCACAGGCATATTCTAGAGCCATGTGTCCCCATTCCTATTTTATCTTGAAACTGTAACAAATGTTTCTTACTGTGACAAGCGGCATAGGGGGATGCATGCCAGGGTAAGGTTTGGAGCCATAGGTGGGCATGCTCATTCCCTGGGGAGGCAAACAACCAAAGCAGGGAAGTTTTTATGTAACAGTGAAGGCCCTCATCTTCTGGCTAAAAATGCAGCACTGCCAGGTTGGGAGTGATGAGGGCATCTAGTTTCTCTTATTGATTTGCCGGATGTCCCATGATGTTTAGGCCTGATTAGGAAGGGGAAAAAATTGGAGATGTCATTTTGATTAATATTTGAGCTCCCGCAATGTGTTTGGCACTGACAACTCTGGGCGGCTCTGTCACCCTCATTGCTGTGAGACACAACAGGGATAATGCAATACTGATTTTGTTCCTCTAAAATATACACCAGAAATAAATCTCAGCTCTGAGCTCATTATTCTTTTAAGAATTGAATTTAAAATAATTCTGAGGACTTTTCTGTTCATTGTATCAGATTTACATAACAGAAAACTTGTGTAATGAATTTCTCATGTGTTACTAATATAACACATGTTATTATTCTTGAAGGTCTTCTGTTAAGCTTATGGTCTGTGTTGTGAAATATGCCATATTAAGCAATTTGTGTGTGTGTGAAAATGAAACCTTACTTGCTTGAAAATAAAACATTACTCGATAAGATAGGTCAGAAAAACTTCTGCAAAAAACTGGATAGTAAAGGTTTTCAGCTTTGTAGGCCATATGATCTCTTTTGCAACTACCAAACTCTGCCCTGTGGCATAAGAGAAGCCACAGAAAATATATAAAGGAGTCAGTGAGGCTGTGCTCCAATAAAACTTTATTTACAAAAGCAGGTAGCAGGCTGGATTTGCCCTGCAGTGTGGTGCTTTAGAGACTTCTAAGAATGATGATAGTTCTTTTTAAAGCTTATGATTTTCATATCTCATTCTAAAGCAGCTTATAATTTTTAATCCATTATGCCATTCTATCCCTATATGTTT